ACTATTTACTGAAAGACAAAGACGTCTTGGTAACTTCCAAATTTTGGCATTTATGAATAAACCTGCTAGAAACATTCTTGTACAGATTTTGGTGTGAACATGTTTTCCACAACTTTGGTAAATACTGTACTGACAAACATTGGTACTGGGTTTATATGGTACTTCTGCTCTTGTGAGAAATCACTGAGCTGCCTTTGAAAGGGTCTGTCCCAGTCTGCAGTCTCACCTCACCATCAGGACTAAGAATTCCTGCAGTTCCACACCTTCACCAACATGTAGTGTTTCCAGTATTTGGATTTTGGCCTTTCTCATAGGTATGTTCTGGTAGCTGGTTTTAATCTGCACTTCCCTGATGAGGTATGATAGGGGGCCCCTTTTCTTCTGCTTGTTTGCCTTTGTATATCCATGTGGATGCCTCCTGATAGTCCATAAATTCCACTGCTGGGCATGTGCTCCACAGGACTGAAAGTAGGGACTCGAGTAGATACCTTTACATCCATGTTCCTGACAGCATTGTTCTCAGTAGCCCAAATGAGGAGCAGCCAGAGTCATCAGTGTGTGAATGGATAAATGTGATACATGTGCATATGGTGGGATATCACGCTTTCAAAAGGAAGAAAATTCTGATTGTTGGTCCATCGTGCATACGTTTTGAGTAGATTATGCTAAGTGCAAGAAGCCAGTCAAAAGGCAAATGCTCTTATGATTCCGCTCACCTCTGTCCAGTTGGCAGAGAATAGAAAGTAGGACGGTGACCGCCAAGGGGTGAGGCACTGGGGAGCAGGGAGCCACTGTTGAGTGGAGGCGTATGCTGCTGTGGTGATGAATCCCCCTTCACTGCGCACACGGAAGTGGTTAAGGTCGAACATTGTAAGTTACATGTATTTTCCCGCAGTTCAACATTTGAGAAAGAGACAGCGGGAATCATCAGTGAAACTCTTTCGAGGAGAAGAGGAGGCTTTGCCTCGACCCTGGCTGACCTGCTTTGCGCTCTGTCTTCCAGGCCTGGAGTGTCCCTGACGATGCAGGCCTTCTCAGAGGAGGAGCGGCGACAGTGGCTCGAGGTGCTGGGTGGAAGAGAAGCTGTAAGAATCATCGGCCGTGGAGCCTTGTTTCAAACCCTGCAGAGTTGGCTTGGGTTCATTTCTGTGTTACAGCGTTTGC